CAAACAAAAACAAAAAAACAAACAACAATATAAAATGGGCACGCCGGGGCACGCATGTGTTTACGCGAAGTGCGTTCGGAGTATGAATTGACACGGTAAACCCGCGCCAACCCCGACTTTCAGTGGGATTGCAGGGCAACCTAAACGGCATGCCGTGTGTGAATTTACATAGTGGAGCCCGCCCCCTGCCGGATCATCAACAAAGCTTGTTGGACAACGCCCCACAGGTCCCGCAAGTCCCACAAGTCTCACGTCCCACAAGCCCCACAGGTCCCACAGGTCCCACAGGCCCCACGGCTCCCACAAGCCCTACAGGCCCCGCAAGTCTCGCAGGTCCTAACAAGGCCGACGTTTCGCACAGGCCCCACAGGTCCTACATACAGGCCTAACACCTCCCACAAGTCCCGCAAGTCGCACAGGTCGCACAGGTCGCGCAAGACCCACCGATCCCGCAAGTCGCCCCAGCCCCGCATGCCTCGCAGGTCCCACAAGTCCCACAGGGGCACAAGTCTCACACGTCCCACAGTACCCACAGGGCGGCACGCTGATAGACGAGAAGGAATCGCGCGGAAACCGAATACTTAGGCAGATTTACCATGTCGAACCTGTTTGGGTGTGTCCCACTTGTTTTGGCGGCCATTGCCCTATAGCGTCGGCAACCTCTGCCGTTCGGCCAAATGGAATAGGAAGCGCGCGGTCCCTGATAAATGCAATGGTGCCCGGAGGGCTGCCGTGCTCTGTCGTGGCTCCCCTGGGAGGGTTAGGGGGGGAACACGAAGGAAAAAAACATGAAGATGCGAAGGAGGAGGAAAACGAGGAGGGGGGAGGAGTGAGGATGCTGATGACGTCTCGGCAGAAGAGCGAGAGCTAAGCAGTAGCCCGCGATGTGGCTAGAAAGCATGTCGTCTTCGTCGTGGTCGCCGTGGTCGCTGTGGTCCCCGTCGATGTCGTAGTCGTATTCGTCGTCGTCGTCGTCTTCGTCGTCGTCGCTGTCGTCGTGGTCGCCATCGTTATCGTCCTCGTCGACGTCGCCGTGGTCGTCGTCATCGTCGTCCGCCGTTCTTGGCAATAACGGCTGCGCCTGGGGCCAAGAAGCCGCCCGTCTTTGTTGGACCTCCCAAACCTGCGAGACCTGTGGGGCCTGCGAAACCTGTGGGGCCTGTGACACTTGTGCGACCTGTGAAGCCTGGGAGCTCTGTGGGATTGACGAAACCAGTGGGACCTGTGGGGCGTTGTCCGACAAACCGTGTTGACGATCTGGCGGGGGGCGGAATCTATTATGTAAATTCACACACGGAATGCTGTTTAAGTTGCCCGACAATCCCACTTAACGATCGGGCGGGTGCGGGTTTAGTGTGTACGTTCATGCACAGAACGCACTTAGCGTAAAATGGCGTGCCCATTTTACGATGTGTTGTTTCCACGTTGCGTGTGTGAGCAAATCCGTCGATCCGGCGTGTGAGTTTAAGAAGTCCAAGCTGAAGCTCTGCTTCAGCATGAGCTTTAGCTCTGCTTGGGAGAGGGGGAGGGGGGGGAACCTAAGTAACTGACGAATTTCACTGCTCGGCACCTCCCCCTCTGCCAGCCCCCAAGAGAGACGGGGGGGGACAGGAGAGAGGAGGGGGGAAAGGGGGGGGGGGGACACGAGAGATGGGGGGGGGGGGACAGGAGAGAGGGGGGGGGGGAAAGGGAGAGAGGGGGGGGGGGGGGGGGCGACAGGAGAAAGGGAGGGGGGGACAGGAGAGAGGGGGGGGAGGGACAGGAGAGGGGGGGAGGGGGGGGAGGGGGACAGGAGAGAGGAAGGAGGGGGGGAAGGAGGAGAGGGGGGGGGAGGTGGACAGGAGAGAGGGGGGTGAGGAAAGGACACGGGGGGGGAAGGGGGGGGAAAGACAGGAGAGAGGGGGGGGGGGAGAGGGCGGGGGGGACAGGAGAGAGAGGGGGGGGGACAGGAGAGAGGGGGGGGGGAGGGAAAGGAGAGACGGAGGGGGGCAGGAGAGAGGGAAGGGGGAACAGGAGAGAGGAGGGGAAGTGGCGGGGCCATCACCATCTCCATCACAGTCACCATCGTCACATCACCATCATCCTCATCATAACCAGCATCATCAGCATAACCAGCATCATCATCATCATCATCATCAGCAGCATCATCATCATCATCATCATCATCATCATCATCATCATCATCCTGAACGCCCCGGATCGGCGGCACTGGCCGGAGGCCACTACAATAGGACGGGGAGCATCCATGGTAAACTGGAACGGCTTGTACCCATTGTATATACATCTATATCATTACAAAAAAGAAAGAAACAACAAATAGTAACACCTAAAAAACTGGACAATAACAAAACAAACACTTTACGATGGACGTTGCCCGTCCTATTTGTTCACACACGAAACGCGGGGGAATAAAAAAAAACAAATCGTGAAGTGGGCACGCCGGGGCACGCCACTTTACGCGAAGTGCGTTCGGAGTATGAGCTTACACACTAAGAGCGCGCCTGCCCGATCTTTAACTGGGACTGCCGGGCAACCTAAACTGCATGCCGCGTGTGAACTCACATGATAGAGCCCGTCCCCGCCAGATCATCAACACGGTTTGTTGGACAACGCCCCACAGGTCCCGCAGATCCCACAGGTCTCGCACGTCCCACAAGCCCCACAGGTCCCACAGGTCCCACAGGCCCCTCGGCTCCCACAAGCCGTACAGGCCCCACAGGTCCTACATGCCCCACACCTCCCACAAATCTCGCAAGTCGCACAGGTCGCGCAAGACCCACCGATCCCGCAAGTCGCCCAGGCCCCGCATGTCTCGCAGGTCCCACAAGTCCCACAGGGGCACAAACAAGTCTCACACGTCCCACAGGACCCACAGGGCGGCACGCTGATAGACGAGAAGGAATCGCGCGGAAACCAAATACTTAGGCAGATTTACCATGTCGACCCTGTTTGGGTGTGTCCCACTTGTTCTGGCGGCAATTGCCCTATAGCGTCGGCAACCTCTGCCGTTCGGCCACATGGAATGGGAAGCGCGCGATCCCTGATAAATGCAATGGTGCCCGGACGGCTGCCGTGCTCTGTCGTGGCTCCCCTGGGAGGGTAAGGGGGGGAACGCGAAATAAAAAGAACATGAAGATGCGAAGGAGGAGGACAACGAGGAGGGGGGAGGAGCAAAAGGATTAGAAGGAGGAGGCGAGTGAGGATGCTGATGGTGTCTCGGCAGAAGAGCGAGAGCTAAGCAGTAGCCGGCGATGTGGCGAGAAAGCATGTCGTTTTCGTCTTGGTCGCCGTGGTCGCTGTGGTCCCCGTCGTTGTCGTAGTCGTAGTCGCAGTCGTCGTCGTCGTCGTCGTCGTCGTCGTCGTCGTCGTCGTCGTCGTCGTCGTCGTCGTCGTCGCTGTCGTCGAGGTCGCCATCGTCGCCGTCCTCGTCGACGTCGCCGTGGTCGTCGTCGTCGTCGTCCGCCGTTCTTGGCAATAACGGCTGCGCCTGGGGCCCAGAGCCGCCCGTCTTTGTTGGACCTCCCAAACATGCGAGACCCTTGGGGCCTGCGAAACCTGTGGGGCCTGTGAAACTTGTGCAACCTGTGAAGCCTGAGGGACCTGTGGGGCTGACGAAACCAATGGGACCTGAAGGGCGTTGTCCAACAAACCGTGTTGACGATCTGGCGGGGGGTGGGTTCTATTATGAAAAATTCGCACACGGAATGCAGTTCAGGTTGCCCGGCAATCCCACTTAGCGATCGGGCGGGTGCGGGTTTAGTGTGTAAATTCGCACACAGAAAACACTTCGCGTAAAGTGGCGTGCCCCCTCGTGCCCACTTGAACAATTGGGCGGGAAGCACCCAATGTAAAGCGCAAATATTTGTATGATTCGTATGTCTTGTTTTGAAAATATAGATGTGAAGATACGATTAAAAACTGTACGATGGATGTTCCCCGTCCTATTTGTTGACACACGAAACGCGGAAAAACAAATCGTAGTGGGCACGCTGGGGCACGGTACTTCACGCGAAGTGCGTTCTGTGTATGAATGTACACACTAAACCCGCAACCGCCCGATCGTGAAGCGGGATTGCCGGGCAACCTGAACTGCATTCCGTGTGTGAATTTACATAGTAGAGCCCGCCCCCCGCCAGATCGTCATCACGATTTGTTGGACAACGCCCCACAGGTCCCACAGGTCGCACAGGTCTCGCACGTCCCACAGGTCTCGCAAGTCCCACAAGCCCCACCACAGGTCCCACAGGCCCCACAGGCCCCACGGCTCCCACAAGCCCTACAGGCCCCGCAGGTCTCGCAGGTCCTAACGAGGCCAACGTTTCGCACAGGCCCCGCAGGTCCTGCAGGCCCCACACCGCCCACAGGTCTCGCAGGTCGCACAGGTCGCACAGGTCCCGCAAGACCCACAGATCCCCTACACCACAGGGGCACAAGTCTCACACGTCCCACAGGACCCACAGGGCGGCACGCTAATAGACGAGAAGGAATCGCGGGGAAACCCAATACTTAGGCAGATTTACCCACTGTGCATCTCCAACGATATCGTGAGTCTCGTCGCGTCGTCAGCTCCACTGTCGGTCAACTCGTCAACATCGTCACTGCTGCAGCCGCCGTCATCGCACAGCAATTCGTTATCACCGTCATCGCCGTTGTCACAGTAGTCGTGAAAACACCAATTGCTGGGCTTGCTGGCAGGCCAGGATGACAAACACCCTTTCTGACACTGTGGCTGGGTCTGCTGTCGTGAAGTCGAAATGGGTTTTTGACCCGTTTGATGTCTCACCACGCTTCCTCCTCGTCCATTTTCCCCTGCTCCTCGTCCTTCCTGTCCTCCCCATCATCCCCCTCTTCCCCTGGAGTCTCACAGAATTGCTGGAGCCATCCGCAGCACTTCCCGAGGCCTGCTCTACTCTACTGCCCGTCAGCGCCCTGAGTCTACAGTCCAACAGTGGCTGCAAAGGAGCTCCTTCCCAGCAGCTCTGCATCTAAAGCTGCCGCGCCTTGCGGAGTTCGGTGCTGGTGCCCCTGCTCTTCCCTTTCTTCAGTAAGGCGGCCTGGGGGACCTCAGGCTGACCGTACGTGAAAAGGGAGCGGGTGACGGAGCATAAGGAAACAAAGCAGCAACGGCGGTACAAGTGAGGAGCTCGGAAGTGTCGACAGCCGATACCTACAGGAATGAGGCAGGAAGGTATCGATGACAAGGCTAGGATGATGGTTGCAAAGCACAGGAGTGAGGAGACCGCGTCGGCAACGGAACGATCAGATCAACGAATGAATGAGTGAGTCGAGTAGCCACTGAGGAATAACAGGTGCTATGTCATTGTCAATACATGTGCGAGTGTCCAAGCACATACGCGTACGGACACACAGTGTACATGGTGGTGTGTGATATGAGTGTACCTGTATGCGCTCACGCTCGTACCAAATCACACAAGTGCACACCGCGTTTAAATAATGCCATTGGCGTAGAAGGATCATTACACGCGGGCGGGCACACGAAACGCTTGCACACATGAACATTGAAAGAACTGGCAACATCAAGCACGACAACCCCGCACGATAGACAGCGACGGATCCGTCTCACGCGCCGTGTTGCCGGCACGCCCTTTGCATTTCGAGAATCAAAGGCCATACCTCTGCGCTCCGTGCGCATACGCGTATGCGCACGGAGCGCGGACTGGTACACATACGCAACTGCGCAACCGTATCACATGAGTACTCAGCCGCGTAAGCGCACACAGGCACGCGCTCATACATCCTGCGCGTACAACAGGCGCCCGCCTCGGGCACATATATATATATATATATGTGGACTAGAACCATCGCGCGCTTCGCGCGCGCTTGGGTGTAGCTGGTCGAGTTCTGACCGCATTAAGACAACAAACCAGTCATGAATAACGAGGTCAACAATGTTTGTTTCCTCCTGCCCCCTCCTCATTCCTCCTCCTCCGCTCTCATCGACCAGCCGACCGGTGATCTGTCGCCAAGCTATGGGCCAGGAGAAATGCAGGGTTACAGCGCCATGTTGCACTATGCTATGGGATGCCCTGATACACCATGCTACGCTATAAAGCGCAATGTCACTATGCAGTATGCAATGCAATAACATGATATACTCTATAGTGCGCATTGCATGCCATGCCATGCTGTGCTGTGAAATGCATCAATAATATATGTAATGATACGCTGAGCCATATCATGCTTTGTCTCCTACGAAGAGCGATGCTATCGCGTTACATGGTATGCACAGACACGACATACCGTGCTATACAATGCAATGCAATGCAGTGTTTTGCCATGATATGATCTGCTGGGCTACAAAAAACAAGATGGCAGTAAGAGCAACAACGGGTGTGTGATATTTGCATGAGTTCTGCTTACTGTTGCGCAGAGCAGTACGGTGCTGTTCGATTAATGTATGTGTATTGAAATGCCATAGTACGCCACAATGTGTCATGAGATGCAATTCATGCTAGGCAATGTTACGTCGTGACGTGCAGTGCTAGGCTCAGCTAGACACTGCTATGGAATACAATGCTATGGCATGCTGAACCATACTGTGATCTGCACTGACACGGTTAGCTCTGTCGTGCTGTGCCGTGCCATGTCATGTCATGCACCGCTGCGATGCCACGTTAGGCTAGGCGGTCCTTCGCTATGCACCGGTATGTTTGGGAGCCCTCTTGGGGGCCGTTTGGAGTGCTCCTGGGGCCTCTTTGGGGGCCTCTTTGGGGCCTCTTTGGGGCCTCGTGGGGCCTCTAGGGGGCCTCTAGGGGGCCTCTGGGGGGCCTCTTGGGCTCTGTTGGGGGCCTCTTGGAGCCTCCTGGAGGCCTCTTGAGGCGGAAGGCTCGAATTGTCGATTCGTGTTCCCCCTCTTGGGCCCCTCTTGGGCCCCTCTTGGGGCCGTCTTGGGGCCCTCTTGGGCGATGTGGGTACCTCGTGGGCCGTCTTGGGGCGCTCGTGGGCCGTCTTGGGGCTCTCTTGCGCCGTCGTGACGCCCTCTTTGGGTGCCTCTTGGGCAGCGTTGAGCGGATTTCTGGGGCCTCGTGGGCTGTCTTGCACCGTTGGAGGCACGAAACAGCGAGAACACGAAAAACCTTCAAATACCTTCGAAACACACAAATTTATTTCGCCTCCTGAGTGCCTCGTGGGAGTCCTTTTGAGAGCGTCTTGGCCGTCTTGAAGCCCTCTTGGGCTATCTTCAGGCCATGATGGCCCGATTTTGAAACGCTCCTGTGCGGTCTTGGGCTCTCTTGGAGCGCTCTTGGGCCATCTTGGCGCCCTCTTGGACGTCTCTCGGGCCCCTGTGACGTTTCTTGGCGCGGCCCGCTGGGCCCAAAACGGCAGGAAGATAATTAAGTGCACTTCGGGGGGGGGCAGGACCCCCCACCCATTTATAACATGTATAGATATACATACACACATATGTGTATATGTGTATGTATGTATGTATGTATGTATGTATGTATGTATGTGTGTATGTAGGTAGGTAGGTAGGTAGGTAGGTAGGTAGGTAGGTAGGTAGGTATGCATGTATGTGCGATTGTACGATTGTATGTATTTATATGTGTATGTATGTATGTATGGATATATGTATGTATACATGCATGTGTGCGTGTATGTGTGTTTGTATGGTTGCCTGCATGTATGTATGTAGGTATGTGTGCATGCATGGAAGTAAGTGTGTATGTATGTATGTATGCTTGTATGTGTGTATGTATGTATGTGTGTATGTACGTGTGTGTATGCCTGTATGCATGCATGCATGTACGTATGCATGTATGGATGTGTGTATGTATGCATATATGTATGCATATATGTATGCATGCATGCATGCTTGCATGTATGGATGGATGAATGTATATATGTATGCGCATGTGTGCGTATGTTTGTCTGTATGCATGCATGTGTGTATGGATATATGAACGCGCGTGTGCGTGTACATGTATAGGCATACGTATAAGTATAGTTGCAAGTATCGATGCACGTATATGTGCATATGTGTATGTGTGTGAACACGTGTGCGTACTTATTTAAATACATGTGTATATGTATAGACATACATACATACATACATACATACATACATACAAGCCGCATCCTTTTTGGGTTGGGGGGGGCCTCTCAGGCGGGAGCCTCCTCCCGTTTGGATTGGTTGAGGACCTCTCCGGCGGGAGCCTCCTCCTGCTTGGGTTTTGTTGGGACCTCTCAAGCGGGAGCCCTCTCCTGTTTGGATGTTTGGTGGACTTCTCAGGCGGGTGCCTCCTCCTGTTTGGGTGTTGTCGGGACTTCTGAGGCGGGAGCCTCCTCCTGTCAGGGTTGCTTAGTGACCTCTCAGGCAGGCTCCTCCTCTTGTTTGGGTTTTTTGGGTGACCTCTCAGGCGAGAGCCTCCTCCCGCTTGGGTTGACTTGGGAGCTCTCAGGCGGAAGCCTCCTCCTGTTTTCATTATTTTGGGACCTCTCAGGCGGAAGGCTTGGACGTTGATCACACTTGGACCCCACGTGGATCCAAATAGAATGGATCAGATCCCAGACCTAGAGACCCCAATTGGATTCAAATTGAATTCTGATTGCTTTCTCAATCGAACGGAGGAGATCACACATCCAAAGGATCCCAATTGGATTCCGATCAGATTCATGTTGCATTCCAATTACCATGGAACCTGGAGGGGGTCTTGGATATATTATCTGGGGTTCAAAATTTTCAAATACCAGAGTCCAAATCTGAAGTGAAGTTGACTGGAGTGGGCGAGAGCGAACTGGGCTGGAGCAGACTGGACTGGACAGGGGTGGACTCTACTCCACTCCACTCGACTCTACTCGATTCGAGTCTGCCTGACTCTACTCTACCATCTCCCCCATGATACTATGCTCGGCTCTGCTCTACTCTACCCTACCCTGATCTACGCCTACTCTAGGCTGCTCTACTCTACCGTGGCCAATGCTGCTCTATTATGTTCCGTTCTACTCCGTATTTCCACCCTGATGCATCATCTACCCGTTCCTGCTCTACACGATTCTGGTCTACTCTACCCAGCTCTGTTCTAGTCTAACCTACTGGAACGGCGCCTCAGTATCTCTCTCTCTCTCTCTCTTTCTCTCGCCCCCCCGTCTTAGCAACATATACACAACAACAGCGTGTCCCTTTCCTCTTCTCTCCGTGCTGCCGTCATTTTGGCCTGAACTTTTCAGGAGAGGGCTGCACGCCCGGGCGGTGCTCACAACGTGCAGTCCGACCGCCATCCCCGTGCAACGGAGGTGCTCCAATCCAGAGGCTCGCGATAGTGTGTATGGGTGTGCTCGTCCATCGCAAACAGTGACTCTCTCACAGTCTGGTTCGACACGGCGGACTTCGGCGACGGGGATCCAGAGATCGAGTTCCGCCTTCCTGGGCGGGTGTCTCTTCATTTATCCATACCACAGTGCCGACAGGCAGGAGCTGGCACACCACATCGACGGCTCCTCCTTCCTCCTCCCGGCCAACAGCAGCGGCATGACCATCAGGACCTTATTGAACACGACGGCAACGCGGAGCGTGTACGGCGACTTCTCGGACCTCAAGCACAATGACAAGTGCGATGTCTTAAGGTATCAAGTTTGTTCTGCGACCTCTTCCACTGCCTGGTGGTGAGCACACGGATTGCGCTCCAGCGGGCCAGGCACGAGGAGGAGACCAGGGACGCCTAGACGTGGAGGCTGCGAATCCAGAGGGCACCGTTGGAGGAGCTCAGGGACATCGCAGTGATGCACGACGACGCGATACTCTTCGACGAGGGTCCACCTCCAGCAGTCGCTGGTCAACGGACTCGTAGCCTCGGAGGAGGCGCGGAAGCGCCTCATGGTCCGCTGGCCGCTCCCGCTACATCACATGAAAGCTCATCGAGTTGTTCATGCACTAATTGAGGAAACATTGTATCGATCAGCGCACGTGTCCCAGGAGGCCGCTGCGAACACTCTGCGCGTGTGGACAGGTCGCAGAGATATTCCTCGGCTAGTCTGCCTCCTCTCGTTTCTCCCAAAAAATGTGGCTGGCCCAACGCGGCCAGAACTACGACCATTCCGT